AGACTGGCAAGTTGATGTGATTAATATTAGCCACCACACCACCAAATTGCTTCATATATCAATACAGTGTTTTCTTTGTGTTGAACAAACGCAGATTATATCACCCAGCTCTTAAAACTTTATCTGAAACTACATTTGTCTTAGCTCAACTTGAATTTCTCAATTTCAATGTTTTAAAATTAAACTATTATATAATCTAAGCTATAAAAAACTAGTAAGATGAAAAGATGTTTTGCTTTTTAAATATTGTTTGTTACTTAAACTACAGTGTATGTTTATATTGTTTGTTTTGTGACTTAAATCACGTTTTGTGACTTAAATCTTTGTATTTGTTTTTAAAGAGATATATTGCTTAGATGTTTCATTCAAAAATATAGAGCTCAAGGTTTCTGATAACACATTACTGAGAATTAGCCCTAAAGCACAATACATTCTAGATGATAAAACAATGGCTGTAAAGGACAATAATCCATTATTCTATAATTTCACGTTTCAGATTGATGATCTTGAATTGTTTTAAAGTAAAAGATTCTGTTTTTATATTTAAGCACTTGGTACTTCAATAATAATTTTTAAAGTTAAAACATTGAAGCTAATAAGTTTAAAACAGCTGACAAATATCTCATATTTGTAATGTTGATTAAGAAAATTTACAATATTATGGCATATCTCTTTACCTCATTTAAATAATAGAAAAATTTTAGAATTGTTTTGTTTATATATCAATGAAACACAAATATCTTTGTGAGTTTTGAAATTCCTGCATTATTTGTGATATGGTTTTTTTTTTATGGGGTCTTGCTATGTTGCCCAGGTTGGTCTCAAACCCCTGGCCTCAAGTGATGCTTCCATCTTAGCCTCCTGAGTAGTTGGGACTACGGGTGCCCACCACTTCACCCAACTCTGTGACATTGTTAATTTAAAGTCATTTATTAAATAGGCTTTCATTCATTATTTTATAATTGAACTACTTGTTTATGGTTTTATTAGCCCTGTCCAAGTTTAGAAATTAATTCGGTGCCTGTCAATATAGTGACCATACTGTCAGTGATTCATTAATATCAAAGCCAACTTAATGGACTCTATTAATTGAAAAGATAAGACCACTAAATCATTACCATGCAACCGCTAAAAATCCAGATTTTTAGAGCTCTGTCATGGTAACTCTGATGCCTGACAGAATTCATTTCCTCTGAGCTTATAGTACTAATGGACTGCCCCAACCCCCACTTCCTATTAGTCTTCTGGTAACGGATAACCAAGTGATAACTTTCAACTCTTTGATTTGATCTAAATGTCAACCAACAAGCTACAAATGTATTCCTGACAGGACAGCTAGACTTTTGTAAAATGTGAATCTATTCACAGGGAAATGAACAGATGACAGCTTGGGTAGTGCTAACAATAAATTAAAGCAGGCAGGAGAACGTAATTAAGACAATTTTTTAAGTCAGAAATGGAAACCCACACAAGGCTGTATTTACTAGTAGCCTTGAAAATATTCTTCCAATCGAGGACATTACTCTTTTTATCTTTATCAGAAACAAAAATTAAATTAGTACTGAGGTATAATGGGTGATGACAGATAGAAAAACAAAGGCTGGACTTGAAAAAATAAAGTCCCTTAACAAGAAGAGACCTGCAACACAGTTTTAAGACACTGTGTTCAATAGGCAAAGATAAATGGGCTATACCTTGCTAAAAAAGTATCTAGGAGATATGGTCAAAAACAAAACTTCTGAAGGTTCCTCAAGAGAGAAAAGTATTCACTACAGTCATTTCATTCTTATGAAGAGAATACATTTTTTTTCTCTGATACAATCAATCTTCTGGCAAATGGCTTTCCCTTCTATTCTAAAACTGGATTTGTTTATACTATTACCCTTTAGAACAGAATATTCTGTTCAACAATTATGATGAGGGCCTCATGATTTAAACATTTTTAGTTGCTATGTTTAAAAAAGTAAAAAGAAACAAGTGAAATTAATTTAAATAAGATATTTGATTTAGCCAATATATCAAAAAATCCAAAATATTACCATTTCAACATATGATCATTATAAAAATCATTAATGAGACAGTTTATACCTTTTTTTGATCACTTTCTGAAATCTAGTGTTTATTTTACACTTGCAGCGCATCTCAATTTGGAGCAGCCACATAAAGTTCAGGAGCCACATAAAACTCAGTAGCTCGTGGCTACTGTACTGGACAGCACAGGTCCAGAGAAACTTTTTTTCCTCAAAGACTTGATTCACATATTTTCTTCAAACCTTTCATCAACACATGCTTTTTTACATACTATTTGATTTAAGTGTTAGTCTTGGACAGCATGTACTTGAAATTCTCTGAAGTCTTTGCATATTGTTTGCTTAATATGGAATAAGTGATTTTTAAGCAAAAAAGAGCAGCTCTCAGTGGTCCAGCAATTTCTGAGTTCAGGTCATCTGGCCAACACTTCTGCATTATTCAATTTGTTCAGTGTAATATAGACAGCTCCACTGGAGTATGTTTGGCTTAATTCCTCTGAAAGTTGAGGACCACACAATAATAATCGCATAATACAAGAAAGTTCTAGAATATGGGATTATTCTACACCTACAGTCTGTTGAGTGAAAAGTTATGAAATAAGATAATAAGAAAATAAGTGAGTTATTTTCTATTTTATGTATCATAATTGTCCCAATGACACTATTTATACAGTAGCAATTATCTTCAGACATATCTGGAATCTATCACATGAGCAGCTGGCATTGACATACCAGTGATGAAGATGAATCAATGTATTCAGCAGTATGTGGCTCTATGTTATAAGGGGCTTTACAGGAGACACTGGGACAAACATGTGTCAAGACAGTAGTACATTCACACAAGATAACAAGTAAGAATGTAGTATGATACACGGACTAGATGCTATGGTTGTCGTGGGAAGTACTCACTTTTTCAGATCATTCTGCTTCTGTTTGGTTTGTGCATGCCACTGGTGCATAGCAGGGAAGAAGCCACTTGTGTATAGTGGAAAAAGTATATCAACTAATAAAACTGCATTTGACTGAGAAATAATTGTATCACAGCTGTCACTAAATTAATTCTGTAATACTATCAACACAACAGTTGCATTAAATTTTATAAATCAGAACTCTGTTTGCTGATTCATAAACTGGCCAGTATGCAACAAGAATATGATGCATCAAATAAAGCATTCTATAATCTTCATGCAGTAAACTGTAACTAATACCTCAAAAACAGTTAATGCAACATTAGACAGGGATTAAAGGAAAAACTTGGTACAAACGCATGTCCTGGATATGAGAAAATGGTAATAATCACAATTTCTTTTCTAAATTAAAAATAAAAAATATTATTTTGCATTAAATTGTAAATGTAAGCTTAGGTTATAATGGTAATTTTGGACATGTGAAAAGATTACCAGCAAGTACATAGCAATGCGTGATTTTGTGAAAAAAGAATCTTGGGTACTGGAGCCTGCCCTAGATTGTGAAGTCCTGAGATGATACGTTACAGTACAACTGTGCCAATTGCAAATTTGGTTAGGTCATATCTACAGTTGTATGGCTCTGCCCTTAAGCAAGAACTTCAAGTGGTTCTCACCTCCCTACCCAATAGCATTCACCTGAGGGACTGTGGACTTAATGTTTTGGAAATGGGAGTCTACAAAGGTCTGACTCTGATTGACAAGAGATCAGTGTAAAACTGTATATGTTTTACTACATATACTAAGTAAAGAATGAGGAATTTGGTAAATATCAAGCAAATTTCTTTCCAACGATTACTATGTGTTATTAGGAAGAAGCATCTCTTCTTTTGGGATAAAAAAACCCTGAAAACATAAAATTTATCCCAAAGTCTTGGGAATCTTTAATAGCTTTAAAAATTATTTAATTTTGATGTTATATGTTATAATTTTTATAACTTACAACATAGTATTTAGAATAAAATACAACCACACATGTTGGCAGCAGCTGGGGATGAGATCTGCTGATATTCTAAAAATAAGTTGCCATAATTTAGCTTTTGATATAAATGCCTTTCATGAGGACTGTAAATGGACATTTTTTGAATTCTAGACATGTTCATATAATCGGAACTGAATCATATAATCGGAACTGAATGGAAAAAATGAAATGTTTAAAATAATCTAATCTAAATTATAAGATAAATGCAAGTAAAAATATTTTTCATTTGCGATTTTAAAACTGGTAGTTCCACAGAGTGGTGATGAGTACATTATACATATTTATGTAGATTTTACAGGGTGTTTCAAAAGTCCCCGAGGACATATAGGATTCACAGTCTCCACATTCTTTGCATACAAATGCAGACTTTTTTCTATACTTGTTATAATAAATGCTGAAAATGGCTCTCATGTGCTTATAATAGACATGACATTTTTGTTCTCAAGGTCACTGAGTATGAGAGGGGTCACAAATGCCATTTTCTGCAAGGGGACTCAGGGACTTCTGGCTCATTCCTGTAAATTAGTTATCCACATAAATATGTATAGACATATATGTAGTATGCATAGTCACAACATAAATATATTTAACATTTAAGAAAATTTAGATATTCTACTGGTAAACTGACATATGTATACAATATAACTTGTATTTATTCACAGGAATTTGATTTTCTTTTTGTTCAAATGTACTGTTAGCTTCATTGTTATTTCTTTCCCAAAGTTGTTAACAAGACTCCTTTATAAAGAAGCAACATGTTTTACTTGCACATATATTTTCTTTCTCTTTTGTCTTAACTAAAGTTGAGTAATGAGATTCATATTCACAAATAAATAACTAGATGGTGATTTTTTCCTTTTTTAGCAATTTTGGTTTTCATCTATATTTATATAATTGTTTCATTGAAACTGTCTTTAAAAAAATTGGTTCAAGAGTTAAAGTTTTTTTTTCTAGTTAAGAATCACAATGTCTGATATATTAACATATGTCAGCTTCCTACAGAAACCCTATGGGTCTGCCCACCTGTGATGTCATAGTAAGGAGGGGCTTTTCTTCAGCAGACTCCTCCCTCGGTATCTCCTTCATCACCATGGCAACAGCCTTATCTGCCGCCCTAGAGCCTTTTCCCTATAACAGTGAAATCAACAATGACTTGTGTCAGGAGAGATCTTTAACTTATTATTTATTACAAGATATTCTAATGTTTAAAGAGCAATCCAACATAAATGAAGAGGTAGGCTGCTGCAAGTGAATCTTGAGGCTTTTGGCTGAGGAGAAAACACACAAAATCTGAAAAAAGATAATCTGTGAACTTTTAGTTAGCTACTTTTTCCCCTTTACAGCTGACATATTACATTTAATTTTAACATAGTATTTTATATGTATAATAGGTTTTAAGGAAATTAACATGACAAGAATTTTTTGTAATATCAATTTAAAAACACTATGGGTTGCCTGTTATGTTCATTTATACATTATTACTCTATAATTCCTAAATATTTTGAATGACAGGAATTTGGGACAGAGATTGGAAGCAGGATCCAACTCCCACAGAGGGCTTTTGCTGGGTGATCTCTGGAGTCTTTGCCATTTTTGGGTGGATTGGGATAAAATGAGTAAAAATGTTGCAAAATAGCTAAAAATCCTTCAGTGGCTTGACATAACAGGAATTCACCCAGCCTGTTCTGTGGTGATGTTATAAACTTGATGAAAAAAAAATTCTGCAACTTTCAATGTTTTTCAGACCAAATAATTTTAATAGAGTTTTAGAAATGTCTTTTAACTGAAGAACCCCATAAATACAGATATCAGTAAAGGATAATTAATATTGAGGCACTAATCTATGTCTCTCTATATATCTATAGATACATATGTATATGTATATATATAGATAATGTGTACACAAACACATACATAACCCTATGTTATTTGTCTCAAAGAAGTAGAATTATAAACTGTAAAGGGATATGGTGGCTTTCTGTTATTTGAGTTTACCAGATTATTACATTTTTTGAGACTAGATATGTTATAATGGGAAAAATCCCCCAAAATATTACCTTTCCAACCCAATGAGAAAAATTTCATACTATGTAAAAATTAAATAATCCTTAAATACTTTAAAAACAAAAGCTTCAATTTTCTCAGGTCTCTGGGTAGAGTCTCCCTGAAGAAAATAATTTTATACTAAGAACACATATGAATATTTGTGTTGTAAATCTACTTAAAATACAAATGTAGCAGACAGACCTATCACAGGCAAAGAAACGAAAACCGACATGGGGGGGTTTAATGTTGGAAAAGGGAATTAAGAGCCAGGGTTGATACTAACTCAGAACTTAATAGAGCTTGATCGTTTCCATGCAACAAAAAGGATACAATTACATCATTATCTTGTGCTTTCAAAGGGCTTTAAGTATTTAGAAGGTAGGTTTACTCTAGGGATCAAAACATTGTCCATTTTCTCAGGCACTGACTTTCTAAAATGTAGCCAGAGGCAGCTTTTCTTTATGAGAACAAAGAAAAATGTTTTGTATAGTTAATAGATTTTTAAAAGTGTGTATCTGTTTACAATGCTGAAAGTTTGTTTCTTTGTTTTGTTTTGACTTTATAACTAGCATTATTGAATTATAACGTGTTATTTCCAAGATGGAATATCAAATACTAGAGATTTTATTCAGCAAATACATCAGTAGTATTTTCATATATGTATGTGTTTTGAAAAGTTTATATGGCCACAATTCATAGAATAACTGACTTCTGGAAGAATAAATGATAACTTGATTCATTGCATAACAAATTGAGGTGCATAATGCTTCCAGGTTTCTTCTTTAATGAAGCAATGTGAACTTCCTAAAATGGAGATGCAAACAATTCTGAATTCTGGGAAAAGATTTATTATGGCACTATTAACTTGTTTAACATTTTATCAAAATATAAAAATTATTTGGATGAAACATTACACACTATAAACTTAGTACATCTTTATAAGCTACACTCATTTACAGACTAAATATGGTTTATAACAAATATTTTTGCAGCTTACATTATTCAAAAGAACAAAGTCATTTGTGAAGAATTCTTTCCATGCTTCAGTAAGTTCTAATAATATAGCAATAAACAAAGTGGCATGCTTATATTTCAATTCCTATTATATTTAAAATAATAAATCTAATGTTACAAGGTATACTTTAATTTAAGAAAATAATAATTCAGATTCTTTTCTTGGGCTAAGAAAAAATGTCAATTGATAAGCATCTCAAAAAATTTCAGGTCAATTTTTCGGTACATTATTTATTTGAAATGCTACCAATCCATAAGCTACATAGAGATATTTCTTTACATGTGCAACTATAATAGCTAGAATTAGCAAGGGACATGCCATTTCACTAAAACAAAAACAAAAACAAAAAAAAATTAGTCCTTTCATGCTGAACTCTAGAACAAAGCAGTGGTCAGCTAGAAAGGATGTACGATAAATACATGCGGTGCTTTTTATTTCTTGCAGAAAAAACCCACCAAAGCCAGGGTCAGGTCACTTTTTTGAAGACAGTGCCACTTTTTCTTCAAGGTTACACCTACTACCTGAAAAGAGTCATGACACACCCATGTTAGAGACTGCTAGCAACTTTTTTCTTCACAGCCTTTTGACTTTTGAGATAATACCCCATGAGCGTCACTGTTTTACAAGTGTGGTACAGTCTGAAGACAGAATGAGAAGGTCTGCCACAATGACATCTCCATGGTACCAGATACAGTGTCTAAAACCACTGCCAAATCAAGCGAATACACTCATGTATCAATGCAAGATTTCCCCCAAATCAAATTGCCGCCTCCACCTGTTATCTTAAAATCAAGCTGTGTTAATTCTGACTTGTCTATGTATCTCATGGGATGATGCTTCCAGAAATCAGAACCTGACTGATAATTGGCTTGGCAATTCATGAGACTTTACAAATTTGCTTTATCAGCAGCTCTGCAGGGCTGATGACAATATAACTGTGCAGGCTTCTTGCTTTTTTGAAGGCAGTAGCTTAAAACATTGTAAGATATATATGTAATTGTTCAGACTTCAAACTCAATTTTCAAAATATAACCACACCAAAGGGTCAGTTTTCATCTATTATGGGAGACAATATGAAGACAGCAACAATAAAATATACACTGAATATATATTCAAGCATATAAGTAGTTTATAAACTTTAGATAACATTGTCTATATGCTTCTATGCCACTCAGCAACAATGGAAAAGAATAGTGACATTTTAGAAGTTGCTTACTATATAATAAAAACATCAAAGAATTTCCACAGGAAACATCGAGAAAAATAAGTTTCCCCTTAATGCTGATATTGTTTTTCCAGTCAACAATTATTCAAGAAATTAAACCAGGAAGTTGGAAAAAGTGATTTTGAAATATTACTGAAAATAAATAGACTGAAATTATTTGCTGGAGGATACCACAATATAGC